GATGTTTACCCTAGAAGGAGGTAAAGGAAGTGATTTCTAAACAGGAGACACTGGTTACTTTTGATGATGAGAAAGACAAAAGCAAATATGGATGGTCAACAAAACACGATCAAGGTAATATACACTAAGAAGTCCATGAGAAATAGGGGCAATTTTGTTAAATGTTATAATGTATGGCACTTGCAAAAATGGTAAAAATACAACTAAGAATGTACATGGTTACGTCAGGAGATACGGATGCACATTACATATATAGAAAGAACCACATCAGGTGACAGACAGTAGAGGACCTCCTGAGACTTAAGAAAATAGAACTGAAGCTATTTCTGCAGGTCATTTTTCAACCAAATAATAGACTGACTTATAAAACAAACACTATCTATCACCTTTGAATAATGTGTTCCAACTGGTCAACATTTACCCAAAAGCAAAGAGAAGGCAAAGAGGAAACAGAGCAAACAAAATGGAAATGAGAATGCTGACACAGATTGTGCCTCTTACATTCTATCAAATCAAAAATTTTTAAGCACACAAAAATGTATGGAGGCTGAAAAATCTCAGATTAACAAGGCAGTCTTTATGAAAAGCTCACTGTTTCTCTTATTTCTTGTGATTTCATTGTAGGTTCATAAAAATGCAATTTTTGTGCACTTAAAACTTTATTTGATAGAATTAAATAAGCACAAAGGAACTCAGACCAAAACCAAGCTGCACTGAGTCAAAGTCGACTCAGTGACCCTAGAAACCACCCCTGTGGGTTCCTGAGACTGACTCTCCCATGGTGGCTGGTGTGTTCAAACTGCTGACCTTGTACTTGCAGTCCCACTCACACCCACTAAGCTATGAGGGCTTCTGTTGCAGAGGTACTAGACATTTGCAGATCACTCTTCTCAACTACCATTTGAAAAGGGAATTAAATTCTCTCCCTCCCCCATAAAAAGGGTGATAAGCAAAATAACTTATTACCTTACGGGTCTTTAGGTAACATCTGTCATGATAGAACCAATTTCATACCAGAGTGTGCAGGCATGAGCACTAAGTACACACTTCACACTTGTGCTTGAGATTCAGTAATTTTAGAATGTAAATTCCTGAACTACATTTTCAATGTATTTATATCATATATTTACAGCTGGTAAACAAGCATTTTCTATATACCAACTGCAATTATTACATACCAACTACAGAGAAAATATAAGGATATACTTATCATATGCATACACTAGGCTCAATAAAACTACTGAAATGTATTTAAGTGGAATATAACACATAACGCTAGAAAATTACAAGTCAGATTTTATCTCCAACTGCTATAAAGATGGTTTGGCACAATGGTTACAAGAAGAGTAATAAGACCACAGGTACTGGACTCAAAAAGACCTGGGAGCAAGCTCAGCTGCAGTATTTTATAGCTGGGTGACCTCTGGAAAGTTATTTACTTGTCTGCATTTACCACCTCATCTATAAAATCAAGATAACTACCTCTTAAGGTTGTAATGCTGATTAAATGGCAGTTACAATTTTTATGTAACACAAATTGCCCAAATCTCAGAAATAGTCCATTTTTTTAGAGCCCTAATGAGTTGGCATCAAATTAATGGCAGTGAGTTTGAGTTTGAAAGGCTAAATTATCCAAATCTCTAGAACAGGTGTCCTCAAACTATGGCCCGTGGGCCACATGCGGCCCGCCGAGGCCATTTATCCAGCCCGCCGGGTGTTTTTGCCCCGTTTTGTTTACTTCAAAATAAGATATGTGCAGTGTGCATAGGAATTTGTTCATAGTTGTTTTTTAAACTATAGTCCAGCCCTCCAACGGGTCTGAGGGACAGTGAACTGGCCCCGTTTAAAAAGTTTGAGGACCCCTGCTCTAGAGGATGTAGCAAAGGCCTATATGTATATATTCTTAAAGTACCACAAATGAGTGTGACTCATTAAGGAACCACTGTCCTAGAGACCTAAGACAAAAACTAAGAGATGAAGGAACTTTAAAATAGGATCCGAGTTTTAGTTCCAAGTTTCTATGACAGACCTTTACTGTAATTTCCTCTTACAAAAATACAACCATACTACAAACATCAAATTTGATTACCTTTTCACAAGCTGGGGAAAATTCTATTTCATATTAAAGTTTTACAGAAAAATGAGGAATACTTGACCATTTCACCTTAATAGTTTCAAAATGGTACTTTAAAAATGTGTGTTCATCTGTAGACAATTGGGCGTCACCTCACAGAGGGGTCACAGGGAAGAGATGAGCCAGTCAGGGTGCAGTATAGCACGGATGAAACACACAACTTTCCTCTAGTTCTTTGGTGCTTCCTTCACCCACTATCATGACCTCAATTCTACCTTACAAAACGAATTAGACCAGAGCATGCACACTGCTACAGATAAAAGCCTGCAACACAGGGAACCCATGATAGATAAAGCCCTCAGGGCCAACAAGGAGAGCAGATACCAGGAGGATTAGGGGAGGCTGGTGGGGAGAAAGGAGGAACAGTTCACAAAGATCAACCTAGAACCCCCTTCCAGGGGGACGAATAACGGAAGAGTGGGTGAGGGGCGATGGAGGACGATGTAAGACATGGAAAATATAATCTATCAAGGGTTCGTGAGGGAGGGTGGGTAGGGGAGGGAAGAAATGGAGAGTGGATGTCAGGGGCTCATGTGGGAAGAGAATGCTTTGAAAATGATGATGGCAGCATAGGTGCAAATGTTTTTAACACTCTGCAGGAATTTATGGAATGTAATAAGGGATGTAAGAACCCCCAATAAAAGTATTAAAAGTGTGCTCCTGAGACTATATAATATTGATATGTAATGTCTTATTTCTGTTGTTTCTTGGAAATGGATTTATTTACAATTAAAATCCACTCACACTTAAACCCTCACATAATTTTTCATCCAACACATCTCACAAATGCGAAAGCATTTAAAGCAAATTCAATATACTAAAAGCATACCTGACAGCCTACTAAATAATCCAGTAAAAAAGACATTTTAGAGAAATACACAGCACACAATCATACACATTTATTCCAAAAGAAATAAAAATCTCTGAAAACAATTGTAAAGCTTCAAAACAAATAGAGATAAGAATAGTTTTATAAAAACTTAAGTGCTAATAGCAGGTCAACTGAAAGAAATCTGGAGAATGCAAGCAACCGAAATCTTCCTTAAAGGATGTTTTTGTGTTTGCCGTTAAGGAGAGAGTTGGAAGGGCTTGTGCAGATAGCATAGGTATCACTAATTTATAGGTCAGCAGACGGCCACATCTTTAGCCTAGAGAAGCAGTTGGTAGAGTCATACCACTGACAGCTTTTGGTTAGTTGCTAAGAGCTTTATCCAGTGTGACACCGAAGCGCCTGTAATTTACACACACAACATTTTTCCAGCTACTTTACATTAGAGAGCTTCTGAGTGACTACCGCTATTAATTGCTAACTTCCAGTGTTAACATCCAAACTTGCATGCAACAGTACATAAATTACAAACATTAAATTGGAAACCAGTAAAGTGTTATTTGGTGAGCAGAGACGCCTCAATGCATTTGAAAATACAATTTAATACACAAAAATCTTTTATTAACCTCACTCTATGCACACAGAAACTTAAATGTGTTCAAAGCACAGTGTACAAGGAAATTGTACATGAATCTAAACCCAAACCCACTGCCATTCAGTCATCTGACACACAACTCAAAGGGTTTCCAAACTTGCCAAACTTCGAGGGAGCAGACTGCCTAGTTTTTTCTCACAAAGAGAAGCATCTGGGTTTGAATTCGGAAAACTTGCATTAGTTGCTTGGTACCTAATTCAAAAAAGAGCCACTAGGCCTCTTTTTCATGCTAATCAACCAAAACCAAACTAGTTGCCAACAAGGCAATGAGGCCTCATAGGGAAACTATATATTGTTCGTTAAATCCCAAGTATTTTAAAGCAGAATTATACACAAGTTAAAAGAAACAGCTAACCATCTGACTTAAACTTTTTAAAAGTTTACTATTTTTAAAGGCCAACAGTTTATCATTGAACAACTTAAAAACAGTGGCCTAACAAGCATGGTCTAGAATTAATTTTCTAATGTCTAATTAAGTGCCAAAGTACTACTTTTTTTAAAACTCACTTTGTGGAATCAAATGGAAGTTACAAGTTCAAAATCAAATCGAAGAGATTCATATTTGAGGGCACTCTTTGAAAGCTAATTCAATACTCCATCTTTCAAAGCTATCTTCCTAACAGTTGACCATCTGATATGGCATATATAATGAATATTGCTTACATCCTAAAAATACCCTAGTCTGAGGAACAGGTGCAACGCTATTTAGATGCATGCTTCTTTCTTCTAAGCCTAATTTTGCCTAGAAAGGGGGTTAACAGAAACAATGGCTCAAAAAGTGGAATGATCCTTTCCAAAATATGCAGCAACTTTAAAAATCAAGACAGAGACCTTAAACTATCAAAAGTTAGATACCTTACCAGCATCCAAAGTTTCACCTTAAGAGGAATGGGGAAAAAAAAGAGGAATACATATGTTCTGGTTCATTCAGGAGGCTGACGGGGGCCCCGAGGGCATTTAACTTTGCTTCCCTCAGGTCAGGTAGTAACATGAAAGCAGTTATGTTCTGCTTCAAGCTAGTACTAAATCTTATCTCAGCCTTTCATAATTATAGTACAAATAGTCTGGTTTGGCTGTTTTACGAGTAAAGAAGGGCAAAGGTGTCAGGTGAACAGCACTCTAAAAAAATAAAATTTTTCAATGCAATTAGAATAGTAAGCGTTGATGAGTCACTAAGAACTGAAAAGGCTCCAACATCCCAGTTAGGAAGGCGCTGAAAGTTGACAGGTAGGAAATGAAAACTTCACAGGTAAACCTCACGCCATTGTGTCCGCTAGGAGACTCAGAGAAGCGTGGCTGTCAAGAGGCAAAATCTTACCCAAGTCCAGAAAGGGGTTCAAGCCAAATCGGAAGTGGGGAGGGGGGTGGTGTCCGGGCAAAGGTGGTAAAAATGCCCACCCCAGTCCTCTTCCTCGGGTTCTCCGCCAAGAGGGACCAAGGAGAGCAGCCGCAGAACCCCGGAGCCTCGCTGGACTCTGCACACAGAGGACCTGGGACTCCAGCCCCGGAGGCCCAGGAAGGCCGCCTCCGGAGGAGCCCCCGCAGACGCCATGCTAAAAGCCAAAATGGCTGCCCCGAGGAAGCCCGCACCGCGCAGCTGAAGAGGGTTGGGGAGCAAGCTTCTGCGGGGAAAGGGGGAGGGGGGGCTCAGGAAGAGCCGTCACCAGAACTGTCGCCCCCAAGCCGCACAGGTAGGTGCCACTCGGGTGGCCGAGGTCGCGGGTTCCGGCGGGGCGCCGAGGCGCGGCCCCACCCCCCGGCCGAGAGGTGCCCGCCGCCGCAGACGCCCAGCACTCCGTCCCCAACGAGGTACCTGCAGTTCGGCCCGCTCCACCTCCCAGTGCGCCCGCTCCATCTCGAAGCGAGCCCACTCGTGCTGGATGTAGTGCAGGATTCCCGGGATAGTGTACTGCTGCGGCCGGGACAGCTCGGGGCCTGCCGCGGGGCCCGCTCCCTCGGCGGCCGGAGGACCTCCGCCGCCCGCGGCTCCATTCCCTCCCGGCGAAAGGTTCATGTTCCCCCCGGGCCCCTGCTGTTGCCGGGGGGGTGCTGCCATCCCCGGACCGCCACCGCCACCTCCAGAGAGCTCGTCCATTGTGTGGGGGGCCCCGGCCGGGGCGCAGAACTAAACGCCGACAGCTGAGGGAAAGGGCCGGGAAGGAGAGCCCCGCGCGGGCGGCGGGGCGGAAGCTGGCCGGGAGAGGGGCAGGGAGGGGGTCGCTGCAGTGTGCTTGCCGTGGGTCAGAGCAAGGAGCTGCCGGCCGCCGCCATTACAGTCCCTCCTCCATCTGCCCGTCTCAGTCACTCACTTTAGGGGAAGGGGGGGGGGCCGTGGCAGGAGGGGTAGAGGGCCGGGTTGGGAAGGGAACCGACGTAGAGCCGCCGCTCCCGCGCTGCACGCTGGGTAAAGAACGACGCTGCCGTCGCCAGCCAAATAGCCAAATAGAGTCCGGCCTCACCCTGCGCAGGCGCGCTGGGAACGCCTCGAGGTTGCGGTTAGTGGGCGGAGACGGATCTGGGGCCCGCCCCCAGCCCCGCCCCTCACCTCTCCCGGTGGCTGGGTTCCGACGCTAAGGCTACCACTTCCCTTTTGGGAACCTGAGGGCTATGGTCTTTGGGATAATCCGTTTCCGACTAGCAGGCAGCTCTTCGGGTCGTTGTCCACGAAGGTCCTCGGCCACGTGGCCACCTTCGGAGTGTACTTGAACCTGTTTGGTCACTCTGGCCGACCTCAGCTCGTCCCGAATTCGTGGCGTTTCTTTTGCATTCCATGCGTGTTTCTGACAGTCCCAGGGGATCGGGCCTCTTTCTCAGCTTGTCTTTCTCTGGTCGGTTCCCTGGGTTTGGGGGACATACTCTTGGCACGTAGCCCAGGTCCTGACGGATGTGGTGGCCGGATCCCCCCACACACACACACGCACACACCCGACTTCGCGGCCGGATCCCCCCACACACACACACGCACACACCCGACTTCGCGGCCGGATCCCCCCACACACACACACGCACACACCCGACTTCGCCTCCAGCTTTTTTATCCCATTTCTGTGCGCCTGGTCGCCTGTCCCAACTTGTCCCACTTTGTGTGCTTTCTTTCTTCCTTTTCTTTTATGAGGTTTGTTTGGGGGTTTGGGGAGAAAGCAGGAACGAATGTTTAATTTAGATCTTGATAGTGGGTAAAGAACGGAGATTAAAAAAAAAAAAAGAACGGAGATTAAAGAATAAGTTTTCCCAATATATGCATAAAAGGAAAGTTTGTTTTTCTTGTGTGTATTTTTATGTGCTTATTTTCCCAGGACATCTTAATGAACTAGTGCACTTTAAAGGTGTATAGCTAATAATCTGATTGAAAAATAGGGCAAAAGTATTTGACAACTTGTGCTTGACACAGTGTATGTATGAATTGTGATAAGAATTGTACAAGCCCACCAATAAAATGATTTTTTTATCTTATGAGCATTGGCATGAATGTCAATGGAGACATTCATGTTAAAATAGTGAACATATTTCAGTGGAACATCCAGACTAAGACAGACTAGGAAGGCAGGCTTGGTAATCTACTTCCCAAAATTTCACCTATCAAAAACCTATGGGTCACCAGGGCACATAAGGTTGCAGGAGTTGGGGGGCAACTCAGTGGTAGCGAACAACAACCTCAAGCTCAGACTGAACCTATAATTCCTCTTCTCCCTCGCCTTACAAACAACCCAAAGTCTCTCTTCTCAGTTCTATTGCTTCACACATTGTGTCCAAGTCTGGGACCTACCAGTCACTCCAGGGCGTTCCTTTCACTCAGTCCCCACATCCTATCTTTTCATCAACATCTGTCATAGTGATTCCATTCCTGCCTTAATTTAAACCTTCCAAGTCAGCACTTCCTCCACTGACCACTACTATTGATACTCCTTGAATGATCTTCTAGAAGGCAAATCCAATTCTTTTATTCCTCTGCTCAAAATATTCAAGTGACCAGTGAAGATTTTATCTCAAAAGTGTAACCTAATATAAGCCAAAATCAAAACAAACCCACTGCCATCAAGTAGATGCCAACTCATAGCAGCCCTATAGGACTGGGTAGAACTGTCCTGTGAGTTTCCGAAACTGCAGCTTGTTACAAGAGCAGATAGTCCCAATGTTCTCCCATAGAACGGCTGGTGGCTTCAAACTGCTGACCTTGCTGTTAGCACCCTGTGGGTGGCCACTGCGCCAACAGCCAGCATTCCTATATGCCCAGCTGTTAATTGATTTACGTCTACTCAGAGTTACCTCAGAAAAAAGATAAGACTATCATCTGCCGAAAACACAAACCCCTGGGGAGCTCAGTTCCCTTCTCAAAAGGCAACTGGTTGGGTTTTGTTTCAATTTAAGCCATCGGTGTACTTGTCAGTGGCATTCAGACTAAACTCTTTCAGAGCAAGACTTAGCAAATAATAGGTGACCAAAGAATCTTTGCCTCATTTATTTATTTTGAACTATTTGATAGGCTACTATTTTTCAGATACTCTCCTGGTCCCTGGTGATCCATTGTAAACTAAACACTCTGCCCGCACAGGATTCGCAGTCTCGTTTGAAGCAATAACTGTAGTCGAGCTTTTATAACTCGTCAGTAAGACAATCTTGGCCATGTTATTTTCAGACCATAGAATCTTTAGCCATTGAACGGCAAGACTGCAGAATCTTGGAGAACAAGGACCATGCTCCTCTCATTCGTAGCTCCCTGCCTCTGGCGCACCGCACATCCGCTATCAATGTTGGAGGAATACATTGCATTTGTAACGGATTACTGTGAACACTGTCCCTTCCTGTGAACACCTTATTCATTTGGGGGATCCCTGGTGGCGTAGTGGATTTCATGTTGGGCTGCTAACCAGGTCAGTGGTTGGGCACTCTCTGCTTTATAGGGGAGCTGTGAGTCGAATCAACTGGATGGCTATGAATTTTTGTTCATTTTTATAGTTTTTGCTGCCAGTGAATCAACTGTATTAGGGTTCTAAGATCAGAAGTGCCATGAGTATTTGAAGTAAAGGACACAGGTTTTCTGCTCTGTAGAGTTCATTGATGTTATGCCTTGGGCCCAGGATAAAAACCCACTGTAGTGAGCTCCTACAATCTTGTCTTTGTTGGGAATGGCACTCCCAGGTCACATTATCACCTCCAGCTCACCTCCCTGAAACTCCCTCCCTGAGTCACTTCCTCTTCTCAGTGTCATCATTGCAATTTCTTTTTGTTTGGTCCATCCCTCCTCTACGCCCATAAGACTCTCCCAGTTTCAACCTACTGCTAATGATCTGAAGAATCCCGCCTTATGTCTGATCATTTTAGATTTTTAGAATGCTTCCCCCGTGTTCCATTGGCGCATTTTGCACATCCGTGTGCTGATTCTATCTTCAAACAAAACCAGACTTGTCATAGTTCACTTGCATGTATCAGCCAAGGTATGCTAAGAAATTATAAGCTTTTAAATAAGTCAAAAGTAGTTAACACTCGGATGTTTTCTTATGGAGTACTTCAGTACCTGTTTTTTTGGGGGGGGGTTTTGCCGAGGGGACTACGGGGAGTGTTATACCTGCCTGTGAAAAAAGATGATGCTCCCTGTATACTGTTTTCAGACCTTGCTGATTATGATCCTGACATCCTCCTACCTTAAGAATTTAAACTGGTGTACAAACAATAATCTATTCTTTTTTTCTTTTTTTTTTTGCATAATACAACAAGGTTGTGACAAGTATTCTTATCTCTTTGATAAGAGTTCTCAGTCACTTCTGTGAGCTCTTAAAAGAATAGGAAGTGGCTCCCACTGATATCAGTGACTATATTTGCATACTGAAAAACAAGAATAAGTCTTCCTTCACTTACTGCCCTACCAGTGAGCTCATTGTTGCTACCTCTGGTCCCCAAATCGCTATTAGATTTGAAATCATTTTTCAGGGAGACCTGGTGGTGTAGTGGGCTACTAATCAAAAGATCCATGGTTCTAACCCAGGAGCCACTCCTTGGAAGAGCCACTCCTTATAAATCTCAGAAACCCTTAGGGGCAACTCTACCCTGTTCTGTAAAGTCGCTATGAGTCAGAGTCGACTTATAGTAGTGAGTTTGGTTTGATTTGAGTTCAGGACATTGTGGCATTTCTGAGCACAGTCAAAGAGCAAACCAGCATTAGAACCCTGAGGAGAACCTTTGTGAAGAGTAGGTAAGGGAGTGAACTGTGTAATGCTGCCGGAACAGAGAAAGAAGAGGCAGCTGTGACTTGCACCATGGCTTAACCTGCCAACTAAGATCAGATATGCACTTGGCGTTCAAATTATTGGCCATGGCTAAAAAAATTGTAGAAATACACGCGGGACACTTAAACCATTCGTATAATCTATTATGTAGAAAACAAAAGGAAAGGGGCCTTCAGAGATACTGAAAAACCAAAGCATTTAGGAGACGGCATGCTGTATAAAATTCAAGTCCAAGATCAACCCAACCCAAATTGTCTCCTGGGTAATGTGAGTCAGAAAGAAGTAGGCTGTGATAACATTGTATAATAGCTAGTTCATGTAGATGTCAAAATTGAGAAGAGATTGGGGCGGGGTGGGGGGGAAGATTGCCTGGAGCCAAATCTTTCCTGGACATTGGCTAAAAGTGAACAGCCAGGTCTGTAAACATGAGAACAAAATGACTAGAAAATATGACTGAATGGGGAATTGCCAAAACTTTCCCAGGTAATAATTTAACAAGTTTGGAGTAGCAGGGGACGGCTTTTCACGGGAGACCTAAGCTGGAGCCACTGTTCTCTTTGGAGAATGTTTCAGCCCGGAAAAAAAAATCACAAAAGCAACAACAACACATTTCATATAGTTTTTACATGTTTTAAATTACCACCTTTAGTTTGGCCTTTCTGTGATTAGACTAACTGAAAACAAGCCTTCTAGGCTCATCCTATATTTTTCTGCCCCATGCTTTACACATTCGGCTGTAACAAGGAGGAGAGATGAGGCTTTCTGTCCCTGTAAAGATTCATAGCCTGGGAAACCCAAAGGGACAGTGCTGTTCTATCCTACAGGGTTGCTTTGAGGCCTGATTGACTAGGCAGCAGAGAGTTGGGGTTTTTTAACGTCTCAAAACATGAACCCTAACCCTTTATGGGTCTGGTGTTTGAAGAACACGATCTCTCTAAGAGATCTTTCTCTCTCCTTGGCATAGCTTCATAGTCCTCCACTGAATGGATTCAGTTTTTCCCACTTTTTTTATAGCAACAGTAGGACAAGTAATAGCTTTATGCATTTGTCGCTGTTTATTTCTGCCATTCGCAAAGAGATT